TTGGTCACCTAACTCAGTCCCCTGTTCCTGCTCTCCCTCCCCCACACCCTTTGATCCCTTGAGCCCTCAGAACTGTATCAAACCCCTTCTTGTAAACATCCGATATCTTGGCTTCAGCCGCTTTCTGTGGCAAAGAATTCTACATCCTCTGGGTGAAGACATTCCTCCTCGTCTTAGTCCTAAAATGGCCTGCCCTGAACTCGACCTTGACTTTGCATCGTGTCTCCTCAACTTTCTCACACACTGCACCCACTTCCTTTTTCTGCACCTTGCTTTGTGCCTGTCACCTCTGTGCCTGTTACATGGCTCTATCTCTGCCTTCCGTGTGTGCATACTAATGAATAGGAGATGGGAATGCCTCTCGCTGACGTTGGACCAATTGGTTCGAACAAGTCTGGAAACGCCAGAGGTCTCATGCGTGAACTGGATGTGAAACCTCGCGTTCATTCACCTCGGAAACATGGCGACAGCTAAGGTGAGCTTACTCTGATCGTTGCGACATACATATTTCTCAAAAAATAATTTCCTGATTCTTGCTCCTACCGAAACCAATGGCACTTATGCAAAACGTGATTAGCAACAATCTTAATCACATGGTGCTTATGTGACCAAAGAAATATTTTTATAGCAACTACGTGGCACGACGGTGAACTGCGCAACAAGAGGCCTTCCCAACAGGCCCTTCCTTCATATTATTTTATTCACTCATGGTGTGTGCATCATTATCTGGGCCCAGCATTTATGCCTGCCCCTAGTTGCCCTCCTTGAGAAGGTGGGGGTGAGCTGCCTTCTTGAACCGCTGCAGTCCATGTGCTGTGGGGTGACCCACAGTGTCCCTTAGGGAGGGAATTCCGGGGATTCTGACCCAGTGACCCTGAAGGAACGGGGATATATTTCCCAAGTCAGGATGGGGAGTGGCTCGGAGGGGAACTTGCAGGGGGTGGTGTTCCCATGTATCTGCTGCCCCTTGTCCTTCTGGACGGAAGTGGGTCGTGGGTTTGGAAGGTGCTGCCTGAGGATCTTTGGTGAATTTCTGCAGAGCATCTTGTAGATGGTACACACTGCTGCGACTGAGCGTCGGTGTGGGGAGGGAGTGGGATGTTTGTGCATGTGGTTCCAATCGAGCGGGGGCTGCTTTGTCCTGGATGGTGTCGAGCTTCTTGAGTGATGTTGGAGCTGCCCCCATCCAGGGGCAAGTGGGGAGTATCCCATCACCCTCCTGCCTTGTGCCTTGTAGATGGTGGGACAGGCTTTGAGGGGGAGACAGGACGGGAGTTACTCGCTGCAGGATTCCCAGCCTCTGACCTGCTCTTGTAGCCGCTGTATTTATGCGGTGGGTCCAGGTGAGTTTTTAAAAAACTTATTCATTCACAGATTGTGGGTATTGCTGAGCAGGCAGCATTTGTTGCCCATCCCTAATTGCCCAGAGGGCAGTTAAAAGTCAACCACATTGCTGTGGGTCTGGAGTCATATGTAGGCCAGACCAGGTAAGGAAGGCAGTTTCCTTCCCTAAAGGACATTAGTGAACCAGATGGATTTTTTCCTGACAATTAATTCATGGTCATTGTTAAACTTCTCACTGCAGATTATTTTTCATTGAATTCAAATTCCACTGTCTGTCAAGGCAGGATTCGAACCCAGTCCCCAGAACATTACCTGGACCTCTGGGCTAATAGTCCAGCGAAATTACTACTGGACCAGGGGTTAGTGGTAACCCCCAGGATGTTGACAGTGAGTGATTCAGTGATGGCGATGCCATTGAATGCCAAAGGACAGTGGTTAGATTGTCTCTTATTGAGATGACTGACCTCCTACAACCACAAACATGTGCTGGGTATGACTCCAACCATGCGATATCCATTGGTTCCAGTTTTGCAAGGACTGCTATTGCTCCGCTCGGTCAAATACGGCCTTGATATCGAGGGCTGTCACTCTCACCTCACCTCGAGTGAGGGATGGAGTTAACGTCTCCTTTTGGACATACAGTGGGTAATGTTTGCTCTGCTGTTTTGGGTGTTATGGGTGCACTGTGTTGACCCCAGTCCGAGCTTAGTGCACACCCAGCAGCACAGGACACCATCTTGTGGGGATGGCATTAAAGCCAACTCTGAAAGATTTTCTGAGACATTAACCGTTCTAACCACACCCACTGCTGCTCACAATATGGCTCTCCCTTTTTCCTCTCTCTCTTTCTTTATCTCTCTCTCTCTCTCTCTTTGCCTCCCCTCTCTTTCTGGCCCACTCAGCTTCTCTCATTCTCATTCTCTCTCACTCTCCCTTCCTCAGTCGTCATTCCCTGTCTGTCTGACTCTCTTTCTTTGCCTCTTAATGTTCTTCCTCTCTCTATCTCTGTCTCTTAAAGCTCTCTTAAAGCTGCCTGCTCTGTCTCACCTCCTATCTGGATGCTAAACGTAGGCCAGAATATAATTTGAAAATAGAGAAGGTATAAACTTCAAGGAAGAATTCACAAACCTGTGCATCTGAGAATGCCAGCAGGGGGTTGGAGAAAGTGGAGAGAAGTAGAGAGAGAGAGAGCACCTCCATCTCCTACCGACCAACCTCATCCCGCCCCGTTGACCTGTCCGTCCTCCCTGGACTGACCTATCCCCTTCCTAACTCCCTACCTGCACTCACCTTTACTGGCTCCATCCCCGCCTCTTCGACCTGTTTGTTTCCTCTCCACCTATCCTCTCCTCTATCCCTCTTCTATCCGCCTCCCACTCTCTCCCTGTTTATTTCAAAACCCCCTTCCCCTCCCCCTTTTCTGATGAAGGGTCTAGGCCCGAAACGTCAGCCTCTCTGCTCCTATGATACTGCTTGGCCTGCTGTGTTCATCCAGCTCTGCACCTTGTTGTCTCGGATTCTCCAGCATCTGCAGTTCCTACTATCTCTGAAGTAGACAGAAGGCAGGGGATGGTGTGGGTAATGTCATGGTAACTCCGTTGGCCCTGGGATGTTGGTGAAATACAAATGCATCTGTCTGTCTGGGTCTAAAGGAAGGTAACTGAGAGAGAGCACTGCGAGGAAGAAGACAGTGAAACAACCTGATCGACAAGTTCAACACACTCCAGTTACATGCAGAGAGACATATGTCCCAAACTGTGTGAGGTTAACCCTCTCACACACCTCTCCACTCACTAGTCTCAGTTCCTCTGTACAAGGGGTTTAACCATCCACCCACAACATCTCCCCATGTACACACCCCGGGCAGTCTGTTCCCCTATCACTGTTTGTGCGACTGTGTTTATGTGACTGTGTGTGATTGTGTTTGTGCGACTGTGTGTGATTGTGTTTGTGCGACTGTCCCTGGGAGTGTTTGATGGGGGACAGTGTAGAGGGAGCTTTAC